ATGTGGGGGTGGGGGGACTGTGTGGGAGGGGTGGGTCCCCCGCCTGCCCCCCCTCCCTGCCCCCACATGGTGCACAGCCTCACAGCAGCAGCAATAGCCATTGGGTTGCTCATGGCCAGCACCTGGAAGAGAGCCTTGGTGGCTGCACATGGCATACTGCACTGGACTAGCCTGCTGGTAGGACACAAGAGCAACATGCCCTTGAGCTGGGCTGGGTCCTGCCTCCATGGAGCCGGCCTGGTCCAGTGGTGCATGGGACCCGAGGGTGCACAGCTCTCGCGTGTGGTCCCAGCAGCCCGGGTGACAGCAAGAGCTGGCCTGGTCCTGTTTGAGGGTGTGCGCCAGCAGGCTGGGCTGGCAAAGTGCACCATGTGCAGCCGTTGGGGCCTCTGCCAGGAGCAGTCCACGAGCGCCTTGGCAGCCTGCTGCTGCTGCAGGGAAGCTGTGCGCCATGGGGGAGGGAGGGGGCATGTAGAGACGCTCTGGCTAGGTATAGAGACATAGGCATAGAGATGCTCTGGCTAAGTGCTAGAGTGTCTCTCTGGAGGACCCAGTCTCCGGTTGCTTCAGGGCATGCTTCAGGTGTGTGCCTTGCACCATTTTTTTTCAGCATGCTTTTTTTTATACCGGGATTTCCCAGTATCAAATTTAGAGTCCACACTGCAAATATGCAGCACAGGGAACATTTTTTCAATCCCAGTATGCCTCTTGTGGCATCTCAAACTGCTTTGAGACACCGCAACATGCAAGTGCTTGCTCATCTGGACGCGGCTAAGGGGTGCATCCCCAAGAATGCACACACAGTGCATGTGCTGCTAATTGGCAGCATGGTGGGTTTTTTTGAGACTGGGAGATCCTGGTGTAAAAAAAAAAAAAAAAAAAAACTGCTAAAAAAGCAGTGCAGCGTATACAGCAGCAGTGTGTGCCACCAGAAAGGGAGCTTGGCCAGCCAGAGTAGCAGATTGCCACTGCTACTGCCTCTGGAGGCCCCCAGGAGTGCAAGCCAGGCTGCTGAAGCCAGCCCAGGTGCTGGCCTCAGCCTGTCCTACTGCACCTGGGACAATTTGCCCCATACCAACCCCATGTGCAGGGGCATGCACAGTGGCAAAAAGCAGTGGCACAAATTTGTACTCCTGCTATTTTTGCTATGGCAACTGCACAACCCTGCACATGGGGACACACCCAAGGCTCTCAACTAGGCACCCCTTGGAAAATTCCAGTTTAGTTTTCACTCTTTTTTTTTTTTGCTTACAGAAAAATAGTAGAGCAAAGAACTCAGAAAAACCACAACTATGGATTTCTGTTTGAAATATCTGGGTTTGTCTTGTGAAACATGTTTGTAAACTTAACAGTGCTAACATCATGTGGCACCCCACAGCACTCTTGAAAGGTTCTCAAAGCACCCTGGTTGAGAATCATTGCTCTATACTTTTCTTGATGTTGAAAAAAATGATGTTTCTCTGCCATATAAACATGTATAGGTCATTTAAATCTCAGGCACTTCTACATTGTATATTACATGCATTCCTAAATTCTTATATTTTAAGGAAGGAAATTAGTAATATGAGTGTTTTATAGCACTGGTCTTTGAAACATTGGTTAAACAAAATAGTTATGAGATCTGCTTTTCAGAGGCCTCTTCTTTATTTTAGTTGAGCTTTGATATTACTATCACTGTTTACCTCACTGGAGTTACTTCTAGTTTACATGAGTGTACATTGGAGAATTTGGCACAGTTCACCTCTATGTTGACCCTATTCCCAGTAAATAGGGTCAGGTAGTTAGTACCACACTTTATTCAGAAGCCAGTGTTGTTGAGTGCAGTCCTAGGATGCCCTTAAGCCTGTCCTAACTTCAATTTCTTTTACAGTGACTCCTGCAGGTCACTTTGGAAAGGCAGGATTGTCTTGGCCACTGCTTTGCCTGCTATATATATCTTTCATGTGTAAAAGTATAGAGCTGGAGCCATGACCCAAGGTCTCTATTACTGTTCCAATAAATGGAAGTGTTGTAGTTTAGGGGTCTGAAAGCAACTGAAGAGTGTTGCTTTGATATAGGGCCAGACAGTGCAGGAAATGGGGAGACTGAGAATATTATCAACATTAACTACTTCGGTGTCTTTGCTGGGTAGCAGCACTTCCCTGCAGAGGAAAGGAGACATTGAACATCCCTGCTAGCTTCATGGTATTTGTGGTAAATTTTGGTGCACCATATTCATTTTTAAGTTACACCTATGTTTGTTAGAGAAAAGTTAGTTTTAATGTATAGTTTTATTTCTATACATATTTGTGTTTTGGAAAAATATATCCTTCACTCTTTTTTCTTCCCCTTCTTTTCTATTGCCTCCAAAATGTGGAGTTCTCTAATCAATTGTGGATCATTGTTCTATCATCTCCAGCCAAGTGTTGTGGATTTGCTGTTCCACCGCCTGTCCTGAGTTTCTCTAATGTGATGCTGATCATCTTTAAATCAGATGAAACAGAATGTTTTGGGGGATTTCAAGCCACAATCTCCTTCATTCATATGGCAGGTAAAGAAGCAATGAATACAAGCGGCAGCCTGCTTTTCCTCAGGGACAGCACAGAAGGCTCAGCAGGGAATCTTAATAATTCATTTGATTTTTGCTTTGAGTAGATCCTAACTGAGCCAGTCTGTAGCAACTAGAAAAGTTCTATATGAATCCACTGGGCCTTAGAATGAAAGGTCTACTTTATAGAGTGGACATAGAAAGGCAATGCTTACAAAACCCATAGGCTTGCATTTTAGATAAAGGTGTGAATTACGTATTTATAAATTCAAGTTGGATACTCAATCCCAAACTAAAAACTTGCTGTAGCAAATCAAGGTCCTAAATATGGACAGTAACACACATTTTGATTGATATTTTAAATATGCATTCCATTTATGCCCTGGTAGCCTGTATCAAGAAGCAGACTGATGGTGAAAAGCCATTCTAGATTCTGTGGGCTGCTAGTTATCTTTTTATGTAGAGATGGCCAAAACTCAGAATTTTCATTCTATAAGGGATTTGGAAAAAACAGAAATATCAAAATTCTCACAAACATTTCTAGAAAAAAAGACTGGAGGGGGTTCAGGTAAAACATTTTGTTTTGACAGATTCAAAAACATACAATAAATGAAAAATCTGTATTGAAAGGATAAAATGGAATATTTTGACATGTTTCAAAAGTCTTCATTTAGATTTTGTTTTCAGTTCCAAATGAATAGGTAAGTTGACATGTTCCTATAGGATGTTTTGTTTTTTTCAGTCAGCTTTTTCATGGCTTATTGGCCATGACTTTTTTTTAATTGTATCCCACCTTTAAAAGGAGAAAAATCCTGCCTGCTTTTGACTTGATTTTCAGCACTGTGAAGCACTCCTAATGACCAGTGATTTCCGTAGAAAGATGTAAGACGTAGGTAATTTTCCTTGGAATAAATATGAAATCCAGTCCTAGCTGCCAGATAAAATTCTACCACCTCCCTTCTGCAAGAGGTCAGCTTAGAAGAGGATGATAATGACCTGTTTTGGCCCTAAAATCTCTTCAGCTGCTCTTTTTCTCTCTCACACGTAGATGAAGAAGGGCAGCCTTTCAATGAAAAATTCTTCTCTGTGGTATTGAAGCCTCTCTGCTACGCCAGTGTTTTTTCAAGACCTATTCAGAACTAAAAATGCAGTCAGGAATGAAGACTCCAGCTGTGATCAATTATCTCACAGTAATTTAGAATGCCATGGCTTTTAAATCACTGGAAGTATAAAATTCAGGTGTTATTATAAGGACAGAAAGTTTACTTCAGAATGTTTATGCAGTCATCACAATTTAAAAATGCCCTCCTTTCTTCTTTTGAAATTTGACTAGTCCCACCATGTTCTACTTTTAACTATAGAGAATATTTCTTATAATCATTGTTCATATTATCATAGTACCTGAAAGCCTTAGCCAAGGAACAGGACCCCATTATGCTAAGCTCTGTACAAATTCTAAATAGAAGGAGACTGATAAGTACAGACAGTTGGGGATTTAAAAGCTGCCAGTGAAGCCCCCCTGCATGTTACAGTTATTGTTCAGTTAGCTGGTCTATTATGCAATTGCCTTGAGACCAGCTACACATGCAAAGCAGCTATGACACCACAAAAAGCTCCAAAGCTATAAAGTTAGACCATGAAAATGAGTACTAACTTTACACTCGGTTACAACTGAGGGGACTCTCGGCCCCAGCAGCTACCAAATCTGGGTCCCAGCAGCACAGTGACTCAGAGTCCTGAAGCTGTGGATGCCCATCTGCAGGGCGTGGCTGTCATCTCCCAGCCTTGGGGCTGCATTAAACCTAGGGTGGCCACTGGCATCCCCAGAATAGAGGACATCCCCCTTGTTGAGGGGTGTGCCCCTCAGCCATTCAGTTGTGAAGGGTGGGGTTGCTGCCTTGGCCAATCAGCAGCAAGGGGTGGAGCCATCAGAAAAAGGCCACGTCCCCCTTTCTGTGGCTGGGAACCCTGCTTCTCCTGGCTATGCACCACGCTACCTCTAGGCACAGCCAACAGAATCATGAGGACAAATGACTGACATGTATTTCCACCAACAAACTGAAAAACAGGGCTTTGGTCCTAATTGAGAAATAAACTGCGGACAGCAGGTTTAAAAACAGGATGGTAGGGTATAAAACAGGGCCAATGGCCACCCTAATGAAACCCCTGGGGCTGGGAGATCATGGCTGCTGTCATCTCTCATCCCCAGGGGTTTCATGCACCCCTGAGACTGGGAGATTGCAGCAGCCATGATCTTCCAGCCCTGGCAGTGTCATGCACCCCCCAGGGCTATAGTCCCCTGTTGTAGTCCCCCAGACCTGGGGGGCTTCATGGGGCTAGGAGATTTATTTCCTGGCTTGTGATATCTGATTCCTACTACATTACTTTCCTTACTTTACATCTGGGAAAATAAATTGAATTAGAAAGATCAATGTCACAGAAGGTGTAGTTTGCAAAAGCCAGGATTGGAACTTAGTCCTTCTCCCAGATCACTGTACAATCCCTCTGCATAATAGAATATTTCATGACTGAGCAATTATCTTTAATATGTAGGTGTTATTTTAATTGCGGAGGCACGTGCAATAAACACCTTCCAGATAAGTCCAGCCAGAAGTAGCACTACAAAGGTCTTGAGTTAAGCCTGCACAAGAATAATGCATTAGACACAACAGGTGAAATTTTGACTCAGTTTAAGTCAACAGCAAAACTAAATTGACTTTAACAGACCCAGAATTTGACCTGGTGAGTTTAGCTACTCTGTGGGGTCTGCTCCCATCCTCTCCGGCCCTGCACTGGCCCCTGCAGCAGCCAGGGGGAGCTCTAGCCTCCCCTGGGTGTTAGCCTAGAGCCTGGCAGGGAGCATGGGGCTAGGAGACAGCTGTCTCCTGGAAGGGGCTAGGACATTGCTCCCTGTCCCCAAGAGCTGCCTGCTGCCGAGGCAGGCCCTCTGCCCCGGCAGCAGGGAGCTCCCGGCCCCTGCTCTGTGATCAGGGGCCAGAGGGCTTGGAAAGACTGTGCCTTGATTGCCCGATTGGGGCATGGGACTGGGAAAAATCTGAAGGGTTGGGACCTGCCCCTGACTGGGACAGTCCCCCACCACCTCCAGGCTGCATGTGCAGACTTCTCTGTGCAGCCTAGGCCTGGCCGGGAACTGTCCTGGTCAGGGGCGGATCCCAGCCAGCTCCAGGCTAGGTGGGGAACTCCTCCTATGCAGGGAGCTCCCACCCCCTGCTGTGCAATCATGATCATTGAGTGGGGGCTGGGAGATTGTTCCCAGCCTCAGCTCCATGATTGTGGAGCTGGGGCTGGGAATAATTTCACAGCCCTGCCTCTGCAATCACAGAGCAGGGGCTGGGAGCTCCTTGCTGCCAGGGCAGGGGAACATTGTCCCTGCCTAGGCTCCAGCGGCAGAGCCCACCCTGGTAGTAGGCAGTTCCCAGGGGCAGGGAGCAATCTCCCTCCCCCTGCTGCCTAGCTGGCTGGAAGCAGTTTTGCTCATGGTCAGCGATCTACACATGCTGTACTGCACAATAATTACTCAACAGTTAATTTTCTACTTGTGTTTGCAGGTAGCAAATTAATTGCCAAGTAGAGCAAATTACTGTGCAGTAAGGATCAGCACATGTAGATGATGACACTTACTAGGCAGTAATTAGCTCTACTGTACAGTAAAGCATCTTGTGTAGATGTGCCCGTTATTATTATTCATGGTAGTAACGCTTTGGAGGCTAAACATTTTCCAAGCACTCAGAAAAGATGCTCCCTATTTGAGTCTCCTTAGAATAGCAGCTCCACCAAAGAGTCAACTATGAATAGTAATAAAGCAGAGGTACCAAAAAAAATTACCACCATTAGATCTTTTTCTTTTGCAAAAGGTTGCAAACTCCACAAAAAAGTACCAGTTTGCTTTTGTGTTTTGGAGTAACACAGTGATAACCAATATGTTATTTTCACTTGCTATAGATTTAAATATATCAGATTCAAACAACGAAACAACATTTCTTGAAGATGTCCATGTGGCCATAAATGAAACAGAAATTCCAGGTAAGGAAGTCAAGGATAAACTTTCTTCACTGGAAATACAGAGTACAATTTGGATGTAAATTAGGAGCTCCATGCTGTTTGTCTTCAGGATAGTATGTGTTTGCTGTCATGTGCTTCTCGTCTTGTACAGTCTTTCATGCTAGGGGAAAGCAAAAGTAAAATGCTGCTTTGCTGAGAATACGAAGTGGTATAAAATGTTATATACCTTCACACCAAAGTAAATCATTGCACAAGGTGAAGGACAATGGAGAATCATGGCCATAGTGTTAAAAATTCCTTTAATTGCCTCAAAGATTTATAAAGAATGAGGTGAGTTCACAAAATATTACAGGCCTGAGCCTAAATTCTTCAAAATAACATATAAAGCACTATGTTTATATATAATACTATTATAGGCAGTTACACTCTCCCCTGCAGATTTCTGTTCCTAAAAAGAGAATCCTCTCCTGGTGATATTGACCCTAGACATTTTGATCCATTGCAATGGAAGAGGTTTAGGGTTAAACAAATTTTCCTGAGGTATGATACTGCTACTGTAAAAGCAGGTTAAGCTCATCGTAAACACTGCCCCAAGTCCCTTCCTGAAAACAGCCCTCCCTTGATTCTGTGAACCTTTTCTGTTCCAGATTATATCTGTGGAGTGCCTTCAAACCAACCCAGGTTTCTCTTCAGTAGGATAGTTGGAGGTGAGGAAGCTGTACCCTACTCATGGCCTTGGCAGGTCAGCATCCAGATTTCAGCAGAACATGTGTGTGGAGGAGCAGTTCTTGCCAAAGACTGGGTTGTCACAGCTGCTCACTGTTTTAGTCATAAGTAGGTACATATGGGTAGATCTTCCTAGTTTTTAGTGCTTAGTTCTTTATCACAAGATGCCCTTATGACGTGATGTTTGTGTCTGGAGTTTTGTTGTGTTCGGTCAGTTTAAAAGCATCAGCAGCTAATATTTTCTCATTCAATCAGATTGCTACATAAAAAGAAACTAAGATCTTGGACATACATTATGCTTGAAGCACTTCAGATAGCCAGCAACTCACCTACACACACTATAAAGTGCTCTAAAAATGGCTGAAGCAGTCAAAAATTATTCTGGATGAAACACCAACTTCTTTGAAGTGCTTCATTTTAAAGCACTCTCAGTTGTGTGCATGCTTAAGCATAACATGACAGGAGGTAGCTTGGTCCTCCAGCACTCCACGGTGCTCCTCTTTACCCCTGTCCCCCACAGGGTGACTGTAGGAAGAGTTGGGTAGACAGGGTGGACAGCCAGTGATCACTTTTCCTGTGAATTGGGTCATCCTCAGCAGTGTCTGAAGCCTGAAAAACATGAAAGAAATCTTTCCATATGTTCACTCCTGGCTCTGTTCTTCTGGGTCTCGTGGGGAGGCGTAGGGCCTCAAGTCTCCTGGTTCTGGCAGGGGGGTGCTTGGCTCTTCTCAGCAAATTCTTGAGCCCCAGGACTCTGGAACCAGGAGGCACAGGAGAGTGCTTACTGGCTATCTGCAACACTCCTTACCCCAACCTGTGGGGATGAGGGGAGTTGAATTGCAGGACTAAGCAACCCTTGGCTGGAAAGCATGCTACTGAATGCCACTGGGATTATATTGAAGCACTCCAACTTGGGGAAGGAGGGCATGACAGAGGGGCTGCACCTCTGTGCATGGCCTGAAGTACTCTGAATTTGAAGCTCTCCAAAGTGTAATGGTTCTGGCAGGGGGACTTCATTTGAAGAAATCCACTTCAGATGTCTCTCTCTTAATGGCCTAATGAAATGTCTAATTCCCAAATACTTTTTTTTTGTTTTCTCCAGCTTTGGGGTGGAGGAGGGGTGCTTTTGGAATTGTTCTGTGCACAGGGACAGCATTTGAGAATGTCCTGCAGTGGCACCTACAAATCAAGAAGGTCCCCTATGATCTCCATGGGTCTCAGGCTTGAGTTAAAAGGCTTGCCATTATTAAGGTGATCATTAACATTCTGGGCCAGAAGAAACTCCTTTTTTTAAGGAGTTGATTGTGGACCTCAGCAGGAGCATTCCTTTAAAAATATACCCAGTTGCAGAAAGCAATTCTTGAGTAGTTTCTGGCTAATGTTAAGAGAATGTATATGACTGTCTTCATTGTCTTGTATAGTCAAATATATCTTTGTGTAAAAACACATATAAATTAAGGAGCCTCTTCTTACTAACAGACTATGTTTTCATGGAGTGAGGTGTGTGTGTGTGTGTGTGTGTGTGTGTGTGTGTGTGTGTGTGTGTGTGTGTGTGTGTGTGTGTGTTGGGGGGGGGGGGGGGGGGGGCAGGTTCTATTTCTGCAAACAGCATCTTCTCCCACTGCTCCTAGATATATTCTGAAATAATTTTGGAATCGTCTTAAAGGTTGGGCTAAATTTTCAGAAATGTTTAGTCCTGCCTTCAAAGTGAGTTAGGCATTTAGGATTCTAAACCCACTACATTTCCAATGGAACATGAACGTTAGTGCCCAGGCCACCTTAGAAAAACAAGACTGAAATTTCTAAGTAACTTGGGTGGCTTTGGAAATTTTCCCACATGTGTATTATTCTTCTGTTAAAAAAAACTCTATAATCCCCTCAAATCAAAATCCTTAAGTACTGTCTCATCACTGTGTAAATTGATTTACACAGCTAAATACTGCACTGCTTTGTTGCTGTAAAGGGTGCAACAAAGCTATTCTGTCGTATATTTGGTCTGTGATTCTATAAAGTCATTTTATTATTTTTTTAGGAAAAATAACCAGTCCTCAAAGAACAGGGTTAAAATTTCTCTCTGTCTAGAGGGTGGACCACACTGGTTTGCTAGGTGTTCTGCCAAAGCACAGTCACTAAAGAGCTCCTTCCTCTCCCAGCTCAAATTGTTCTACTGACAAAGTCCACCAGCAAGTCACAGGATTTTGTCATGCTCCTATTGAAGTCAATGGCAAATTTCCCTTGAATTATGAGAGTGATCTCCCCTGATTCTCCCTTGGTTTAAAATTAACCCAGATGGCAGGCCTTGCTTGATGGAGTGTTTTATTTTGGTAAGGTTAATCATCTGATACTCTTCACAGTGCAATTAGCCCTGAGAATGTCCTTACTTTCTTCTCTTTGAGGAAACAGTACAAAGATTTATGGATGGTGGTTGCTGGACTCCATGATATTACAGAGCAAGAGCACAGTCAGGTATTATGAATGATGTCTCAATTGTATGCTAAATGCATTTCATTAATTGATATGGTCTGGCATGCAGCAGCCTGGTATAGTATGTGGTGGCTGAATAACTGCACAAATGTAAATGAAGGCCATGTATTTGCACAAGAAAGGTTAAGGGCTAGCACAGAACTCTGCTCAGAGCAGTAGTGAAGCTCCAGACTCTACCTAATGTATCGTGCAAAGGGACTGGTGCATAGCTGGGGCATGCCGCAGACAGATCTGCTCCAGTATTGTGGATTTACTTCTGTTAGGGCCTGCTAACTCTGTCCAAAACAACAATAATCTAGTGCAGATTCCCACTGTCATGGAAAAATAGAGAAAATAGTTTCCTGAATAGTCTCTGTTCCCTGTGTCCTAAAAGTGTGTATTCCTTACCTAGCATAAGAAGTTGTTGCTTTCAATAGCTACTCATTAAGAATGTCTGCTCTTCTTAATGCTATGTAAAGCTAGAATGCTATAAAGCACCATGGTCCCAACTCACTCATGAATTGCTGTGTCCTACCTTCTCTCCTAGAAAAGATCAGTGAAGCAATGCATCATGCATCCAAATTTTAACGAGACCACCATGGATTCAGACATTGCATTATTGCAATTGACAGAGCCTTTAAAATTTAATCACTATGTGCGCCCAGTGTGCCTTCCAGAGGAAGAAGAGGAGGTTCAGCCTTCTCAAGTGTGCACTATCACAGGATGGGGTGCATACGATGAAGGTACACAGCCTTCTCTACTTCATGGGGCCATGCAGTGTGAACATTTTATTTTAGCAAGTGCTCTTGGGCATGTGGGAAAGTTAATCATATCTTTGTTGGGCTCCTATGGTTATGTAGATTGCGGGAGGGATGCATGGGAATAAAACGACCAGGTGGCATAAATGGGGGACAATCGCAAAGGGGGATATGGTGGAAGCATCATTACTTTAATCATTTTAGGGGAAGGCTGGACAAGGGAATGCACAGTAGAGGGCGGTCCTGCATTGATAGAAGAAAGGTTATTTTTCATCTACAAAGCTTGTGGCTAATTTTTAAGATGTCTTTCACTTCAAGACAGAGAAAAGACCAAAAAGCTTCAGCAGCTGGAAGTCCCCATCCTTGTACTTGAGACATGTCAGAAGTACTATCTGAACCGTTCTGGTAAAGTGACCCAAAGGATGCTCTGTGCTGGATTTCCTCAAGAAGAGGGAAAGGATTCATGTACAGTAAGTTTTAATTTAAAAATGCAGGTATGATTTTTATTGGGGAATTAGCAAGAGCTTTGATTTTAAAATGGGGAGTGCCGAGACAGGAGTGGCGGAAATTGTTTTACTGCGCACGAAGGAGGCTTATTATATTAATCAGGAAACACTTTGCCAGTCCAGCAGTGTAGCCAAAATGGCATGTACAAAGAACTGTTGAGTAAGATAAGCCATTTTCCCTTGTGTAGGGTGACTCCGGTGGCCCATTAGTTTGTCCTTCAGAAGATTCAGGATTTTACACCCTCAATGGAATAATAAGCTGGGGCTTTGGCTGTGGAAGAAAAAGCTACCCAGGAGTCTATACAAATGTTGCTGTTTTCATGGACTGGATCAATCAGCACATGAGTAGTGGTATGTAGTGGTATGTATGAAAACAAAATGAGGCAAGCTCTTTTTTAAGGTACCTAGCTTGAGGCACCTTTAAAGGAGTATGATTTAAGAGAGTGGATGCTGAGCGCTTCCTGAAATGTAGTCCTCTTTCAAGTGGCCCAAATGTAACTTGCTGTTTATAGAAGAATCCTAAATCCATAAATACTTTTGAAAATCTTCTCCAGAATTCTTTAGGATGTATTACTACTCTTATTTTTTTCTATTTCATTTCTTCATGTGAGCAATATGTTTCTTTAATTCTGCCTGGCTGTTCTGATTTGAGGGAGGTGGGTCTGTGGGGGCAGTAGAATGAAATTACGCAAGATGAACAAGGTTAGCATTGAAGTGATATTGTAGCCATGACAATTCAAGATATATGGGAAAAGCAAGGATTTTTTGGAGTGATATCTTATATTGGGCCAACTGCATGGTTGGGAAAGACTTAGACAAGCTTCTGGGTATTGCAGTAGCCTTCCTTGGGGGTCTCAAAGTTAACAGACATTTTCAGTGGAGTTTCTATTATTCCAGTGTATGGAATGTGTATGTGTGTAGCCTTAACAGATTTTAAACAGGAAATTTTATATTTTTTCTATTTTTCTTCCCTTATATCTACTCAATTTCATGGTATAACACTCGAAAGCAATTCTAAAGAGTCACATTGTAATAGACTTCCAAGACACTAAGCACAAACTCAGCCTATAGGTCCAAAAAAGAAAAAATCAACTCAATGATTTCTCCTTTCAGTTGATGGGTTCCACAGGGGTAACTATGGGCAGAATTTGTCTTACAACATATTTATCTGTCTGAACACATTCCAAATAGAGTGAAGACAGTGGTATCACTTCAGTAAAATTACTTCTGATTAAACTGATGTGAAAATGTGGTCGTAGGTGGATGTGCCTATATAAAATTTAGTACTTGTATAATCACATACTAAATAAATGCACAGTAGGTTGCCATACAGCACATTAGTGTGACATACCCTTTTTGTGTGACGTTTTATGTGCAGTAAACTAAAACAGGGCAGGGAACAGCTGCAAGCAGACCTGCACAGGTTAGACAAGTGGGCAGAAAACAACAGAATGCAGTTCAACAAGGAGAAATGCAAAGTGGTGCACCTAGGGAGGAAAAATGTCCAGCACACCTACTGCCTAGGGAATGACCTGCTGGGTGGCACGGAAGTGGAAAGGGATCTTGGAGTCCTAGTGGACTCCAAGATGAACATGAGTCGGCAGTGTGACGAAGCCATCAGAAAAGCCAATGGCACTTTATCGTGCATCAGCAGATGCATGACGAATAGATCCAAGGAGGTGATACTTCCCCTCTATCGGGCGCTGGTCAGACCGCAGTTGGAGTACTGCGTGCAATTCTGGGCACCGCACTTTAAGAGGGATGCGGATAACCTGGAGAGGGTCCAGAGAAGGGCCACTCGTATGGTTAAGGGCCTGCAGACCAAGCCCTACGACGAGAGACTAGAGAAACTGGACCTTTTCAGCCTCCGCAAGAGAAGGTTGAGAGGCGACCTTGTGGCTGCCTATAAGTTCATCACGGGGGCACAGAAGGGAATTGGTGAGTTTTTATTCACCAAGGCGCCCCCGGGGGTTACAAGAAATAATGGCCACAAGCTAGCAGAGAGCAGATTTAGACTGGACATTAGGAAGAACCTCTTCACAGTTAGAGTGGCCAAGGTCTGGAACGGGCTCCCAAGGGAGGTGGTGCTCTCCCCAACCCTGGGGGTCTTCAAGAGGAGGTTAGATAAGCATCTAGCTGGGGTCATCTAGACCCAGCATTCTTTCCTGCCTATGCAGGGGGTCGGACTCGATGATCTATTGAGGTCCCTTCCGACCCTAACATCTATGAATCTATGAACTAGTGTATTAGCACGGTTTTTGCTGTGCTTGCTAATGTGCAGTAGAATTAGTCTACTGCACATTAAGCATCTCATGTAGACACACCTGGTATGTGCTTTAGCAGCAATCAAAGATCATAGATTTCTCAAATTATATTTACTGGTATTAGAAGGATGAGAGAACAAACCACACGTGATAGATATAAACCATGCCATTTGAAGCACTGCTGGAGTGCTCTCAAACTGCAGTGGAGACACTGTATGGATCCCTAGAGAGCTGAAAGCAAAGAAAGTCTTTAAGGCATCTATTCCTGCTCACAGTGAGCACATTGAAAGTATTACTAATTATTTTGATGGGAATAGAACTAGAGCAGTGGGAGCTTGCCTTTTCATTCAGTAATAGGAATCAAGTGTTTGGGAAGCATATTGAAATGCTGTGGGTCAGCCTTTAGGGGACAGATCATATGGTGAAGATCAGAGCAGCTGCATTGACTAGGTGTAGCTGCTATGATATGTACTAGTTAAGGATCTGGCTCCAAGTGCTTAAATGCATAGTATTACTCTGCTTCCTTGCTGGAATGGCTTAGGATGCAGAATAATTGACTCTTCTGTCCCTATGGTGCCTGTCTTTAGCAGCAGTAATTAAAATTAGCTATGATTTTGCCCATCAGGATGTGTCTTGGTGACACATTAATTACAGAGATTCTTGCTGAGGCATTGTTTACGTAAAATATAATCCATGTAGAACTAATATAACAGCTTTGATATGTGTGTGCCTTTTGCTAATATAAATACACTGTTACCATATACAGGCAAGACACAAAGATCATCAAGCTATTCAGACTTTCAAGACAGAAGCTAAACTCAGCAGTGACTGGGGGTACCTTGTATCATATGCTCCAGTGGTTCTACCTTCATAATGGAATTCCTCTATGACTCTCAAGGACCTTACTTCTGTGGCTCCTGAATGGCTTACAAGTTTCATGACTCACAGTTAAGATTAAAATTCCTTTGTGCCTTTTGGACATTGAACTCCTCATTTTGTATTTGGAAAACTCAGTGGATCTGTAAGTTAAGGGACACATTGATAGTAATAAAATGCATTTTAAGCCTTTGCATCTTTTTATGACAATATACTTGGTTTTCATAAGCTTATTAGGCCTGACTTGCCTTTCAGTCAACTCATCTCTACACCAGTTTAACTCCTTCGGTTGCAATGATTCTCATTAGTTTAATGAGAAAAATATCAGGACCATGATGTTTGGCTTTAAAATTGTAGTTTTATGAATTGCTAACATTTTATTAGTGGGTTTGAAATCAGTCATATACATGCGTTAGTTCTGATTAGTTTGCATCTTTTACTACTTAATCAGTAATTAAAGTGTTGGCTATGTAAAGACTGAGTAAGGCCTATGGATTTGGACCAGCATTTCATATGTAGCATATCTGACCATATAATAAATTTGTGCACTGAAAATGGCTGCCTGAGATTTTGTAGATTGAACTGTTTGGTTTTGAAATTCTGGTATGGTGCTAATGTGGATTAAATAATAATAAGTGATTCACGTGTGTAGGATTGTCAGACTTTAAAGTTGGCCCCAAGTATCTAAAATCAAGGTAAAATGTGTTTCTTGATATGTGAATAAAGATAGTCTTCTCTGTAATGCTGCAAGAAAGCAAATTAAAACTGTGTGCTGTGTTTACTGTAGAACAAAAAGAGAGCTTACTGTTCAGAACAAGTATACAGAGTTGGTGTATACAGACTAATTTAGCTGGTGGCATTGCTGTCTAACCAAGCCTCCTTTATGACCAGCTTAGTTAGCTCTGAAATGGTAGGCCTAGAGAGAGCGGATGCGTCTACATGTCCTATTACCACAGAGTTAATTGCTCCTGGGAGTGCCATTTACACATGTGCCTGGAAGCACAGCATGTTGAGCTAAGTTGGAGCAGCCCACCTGGCACCGGGCCTGCAAGGGTCAGCTTGCCAGCCCAGGGCTGATCTGACCTGGCTCAACATGCTGCGGACAGGCTCGCTGGGGCAGTGGGTGCCACAGTGTGGGGCTAGCCAGCAGGCAACACTTGCACTGAAGCACTCTTGTGCCCCAACCAGCCCTGTGCCTGGCTGCACATGTGGTGCTGTGGAGTAAAAAACTCCACAGCAGGATAGTACTTGTATTTATAAGTACTAACCTGCTGTGGAGTTAATTCATTTCCTCCACCCTAAGAGCTCTTCATGTGTAGACATGAGATATTTACTGTGCAGCTAATTGGTCTGCTTCACAGTAAATGTCTCGTGTAGATGTGCCAAGAGTGTGTTATAGTTCAATCCTGAAAATACTTAATGACAGGTGATATACCTGGTAGAAAGGTTTTGCAAGAATGAACCCTTAATTACTAACAAAAGGAAATCAGTACCTTTTGCAAGGAAGTGGAGATCTTGCTCTAACATAAAAGCTTCTTTTGAGAGAGTCTATCCATTGCATTAGAAATGTATGCCTGGCCCTGCCTTGGGACTTGCAGCAGATGTGGTCTTGTATGTAAATGCTGACTGTAAGTTCACAGGAGAACAAATGAGAAGCATGGTGAATCTCAGCCCCTACATGGGTTCTGTGCTGTTTTTTCAGTGACTCCCTAACTCTCAGTTCTACTATATGCTGCCTTTTGCATGAAGGGCAGCATAGTTAGCTGCTATATCATGCTGCCCATATTCTTTTCCTTATCTTGTGCTCAAGCGGAATCTAGGTCACGAGTGGTTTATGTTGTATTCTCTCTACTTTGCCTGGGAGCAGGTACAAGAGATATTCCTGGCTTCTCTTTTCTTCTGATCATGCCCATTTGTTTCTGAGGAAGGTCCAGTGTAAGATTTGGGGACATATGCACATGGGGTTCTGTGGGATGTCACTCTGGTATACCCCATTTGTTTTCACACAACATAACTAGACCTTTTCTTCCATTATGCTTTTTGCTTCCCTCTATGCCCTGTTAGGCCACAGTTTATATGCCCCAATCCTAATCTTTAATAACAAAACATTGCCTTCAGTATTGGGCTCATGGACAAGGACCTTGTCTTTTTTTCTCTTCTCAGAGAAAATGGGATAATTTTTTTTGGACTTATCCCAGTTCAAATTACCGCTATATAAAACAAGTGGGAGAAGAACGAGGCTATATGTTGGAGAAAGGGTAAGAATTTCATATGATTCAAAGTTCAGCCTAAGATTGGTATGGTATGATTGATATTTATCATAAAAGATTGGGGCAGCTACCAGATAAGTGTGGTTGGCAGCAAAGATAGGGAAGATAGGGCAGGAAACAAACAACCTAGAGTAGTAGAACAGATTAGGGATTACTTAGACAAGTTAGATGCTTTCAGGTTGGCAGGGCTAAGTGGGATGCAAGTTAGGGTACTGAAGAAAATGGCTGAAGTAATTTCAGAGCCATTAGCTACCCTCTTAGACATCTCATGGAGGTTGGGTGAGGATGATTGGAAAATGACAAAGATAGTGTGCATCCTTGAAAAAGGAAGAAAGGAGATCCAGAGAATTACAGATCAGTCTGCCCAACTTCGATAGCTGGAGATCTTGGAGTACATTCTCAAAGAATCCATTGTGAAGCATCTAGAGGAAAACAGGGTGATCAGGAACAGCCAGCATCGATTCACTGAGGGCAAGTCAACCATGTCTGACCAACCTGATTTCCTTCTTTCATAAGGTGACAGGCTCGTGGATGCTGGGAGAGCAGTGGATTTGATTTACCTTGACTTGCTCAGGGCCTTTGACACTGTCTTCCATGACATTTTCATTAACAAGCTAAAGAAATACAAACTCTAAGTACTCTAAGATGGATACATAACTTGTTAGATCATTACAGAAAGGACGTGGACAAATTTGGAGAGTCTAGCGGAGGGCAAAGAAAATGGTTAGGGGGCTGGGGCACATGACTTCTGAGAAGAGGCTGAGGGAACTGGGCTTACTGGGTGCCTATACATGAGCAGGGAGGCTGCTCTGACGTGCTGTAATTCCAGTGCCTCGGAGCAGACTCAATTAATCAAGTCTACTGAAGCATGGCAATTACTGCACTCCAGCAACCTCCTGCATCTCATGTATTGGCATCCCCATTTTCAAAATGGCAGCAGGGACACCGTATCTAAAGCTCATTTGACAAGCTTTAGATAAAGCACCCCCACTGCCATTTTGAAGCTTGGGGACACTGATACATGATGTGCTCTGGCTGCTTTAATTAGAGTGGCTCTCAGAGTTGCTTTAATTAAAGCACCACCCCCTTCCTTCCCCCCACTCCTGGAGCATGTGTATAAATGCCCATTTAGTCTGGAAACGAAGACTGGGCAGGGATATAATAGCAGCATTCAGCTACCTGCAGGGTGGTTACAAAGAGCATGCAGCTAAACTGTTCTCAGTGGTGGCAGATGAGGAGCAATCATCTCAAGTTGCAACAAGGGAAGTTTAAGTCAGATATTATTAGGAAAAACTTTCTCACGAGGATGGTAGTAAAGTACTGGAACAGGTTACCCAGAGAGGTGGTGGAATCTCTATCCCTGCAGGTTTTTAAGACCTGGCTATATAAAGCCTTGGCTGGGATAATATATTTGAAGATAGTCCTGCTTTGAGCAGCGGGTTGGACTAGATGACCTCCTTAGATCCCTTCCAACCCTAATTTTCTATGATTCTATGAAAGAGTCCAATGCAAAGTGACACTAATTATTAGGGTCCATGAACATAAGACTTAATGAGGAGAGGCTGAAAGAGGTAGGGTTATTTAATCTGGAGAAAAGAAGACTGAGGAGGGATTCAATAACAATCCTCAGATACCTAAATGCCAATTACTGAAAAGATGGAGATGGGCTTTTCCCTCTGGCTGTAGAAACAGGCATAGGAGCAATGGCCTCAAGCTGTGGCAAAGGAAAATTTAGGCTGGACATTAGGAGGAACTTCCTGACTATGAGGGTGGTCAAATAGTGGAACAGGCTACCCAGAGAAATTGTGGAATCGCTATCCTTGGAAATTTTCAAGATTGGATAGATGCTTGGCTGGGATGGTTTAGTCAAGGACAATCCTGCCTTGAGCAGGGGGCTGGACTAGATAACCCTGTGAGGTCCCTTTCAGCCCTACTTTCCTATGATCCTATGAAATGGAGACTTTTTTCACTTTCTGCTATCAACACCGCTAGTAAAGAATCCTCACATTTTATCCTCTAGTCAAAAGATTAGATAAAAATCCTGTCCTGAAATTCATCCAAGTTTTACAAGGTTTCTTTCTGGTCTTTATCTTATCAGTGGACTTGATGAGAAGTTCTGTTTCTCTCCAAAAGCATAATTTAGGAGGTCACTAATAATCCAGTCCCATAGCTCTGCAATTATTTGTCACAGTACTATATCCTGAAGGCCATTTGTTTGAAACTAAGACTATGCTGTAGATTTCAGCATTAATTTTCCCTCAAGAAGTTTGAAAGGTTCCTTTTTCAAGTGTCAAGAGCTGTTTAGTCGACTCTAAGATGCAAACTGAGTATCTAGAAACTTTGTTAAAAAAAATCAATTTACTTTCATTATTCATAAAATGTAATTGCATGGTGTAAGTTTATAAATATGTGTGTCTGTATATATAGTTATACATACCGCAAATTAACCACTACTATGGAATTTAAGTAGTAAAGCCACTTCGGTTAGCATTTTTTGTAATGAAATCTAATATTATTTGCTATACATCTCATACTGTCCGAAGTCTATGGGCTTAGTTATGAGGCACATGCTTGGAGAGGGTATGCAACTGACGGTCCATTATATGCGGCTGACTTAGCATGAACAACGTGTTCCCCTGGTGGCTGGGGGGGGCATGGTGGCAGCAGGAGCATGGTGGCAGTAAGCGGGAGCTCCCGCAGATGCCCCTGGTGCTGTCAGTGCTAGGGGAGGGGGGCGGTGAGCGCCGCGCAGGGGTTGGCGACCACCTGCAGACACTGCCGACAGCGTTGGCAGTGGGCAGCAGCGATCATGGACCACCCGCAAATGTCAGTGGCAGTGAGTGGCAACCGCCCGTAAGCACTGTTGACAGTGGTGGCGGTGCCTTTTTGTAGGGGGTGCACTGCCACGTGCAGAGGGTGCACGTGCACCTGCATGCACCTCCTATGCGTCACTCCTGTGAATTAAAATCCTGTAGTCATAGCAATGAACCCACTGGCTAGGGACAGAAGTTGCACGTAAATGAGTTTAAGTGATCATAAACTGGTTTAAACCTGTAATACAACAGAAGATCCATGCATATAAACCAGTTTCAAAATGGCTGAAACTGGTTTAAAATAAACCTGCTTGAATGTGGTATCAGACTGAACTGATTTGGGTCAGACTGGTTTATGAAACTTCTGTCCCAGACCCCTTCCTGGTTCAAGTTAAATTACAGTTCCCCAGCATCCCAGCATGTTTCCAGCCTTGGGCTGTGCTGTGCTGTCTGCTCTCAAGAGCAGGGCTGGCCCCTCCCCTCTGCTCTCTACCCAGAGCAGTGAAGGCTGGCTGACAAGGGCAGGGGGATACAACTCAACCAGGGATGCAGCCCAGTCTATGGTGGGGAATGCACGCCCCCCAGCAAACCCTGGCTGGGGTCTGGGGCCAGGGAGGTGGGGTTAAACACCCCTTCCCTCACTCAAACTTACTGCTGGCTGCAACTATGGACTACAAAACCCAGAGGCACCTGAAACCAAGAAGAAGAGGTGATGAGCAACCCTGCAGAGTCCTGCTGCTGTAATTCTGGACTGTAAATCCCAGAGACCTTGGGGGCAGTAGGAAGAAGAAGTGAACACACAGCCAGAGAAGCATGCTGTAGCACCCCCCAGCTTCTGAGCCATAGCAGACATGTAGCTGCATTTCCTGAATCAAAGGTAAAAGCCTGCACACAACTCCAAATATGCTTCACAGCTATGCAGAAGAACTTCAGAGAAAATTAGAAATCATTTACTTCACCTACTCTACTCCAAAAGAGACCAACTCAGGAAGGAAATCACCGTATACTACACCAACTTAAAAGACAGAAATCCATGCATGTTCCCTGACAATATAAAGTGGATACAAAGAGACTACGAAAAACTTTCTACAGCATTCATCCTACATAAAAAGAAGAAATGGAACAAATTACTCCAAGAACAAGCTCCGCAACCACAAAACAACCATCAGAGGAACAACACCAACACCTTACAACATTCCAACCTCAGACTCGATGAAACTGAAAGCAGCAACCAACCCACAAATATTATCGATCTCTCCACACACACACGCTTACCAAAACTGAAAAATCTGTCCTTTCTAAAGGCCTAAATTTCTGTCCAGAAAAATACCCTAACAAAATACTTCAATGTGGAGAACTAGAAGAATTCTTCCGATGTCTGCGCCTCAAAGAATATTTCCACAACCAAACTGAACCCACTCCCAACAACAACTCATCCTCTGACAACATTCAGGAAAGGATCAATGCCAAAAAGCCCAAAAAAACATCAGATTGGACACCTCGCAGCGGATGAAACCCTAACTTTGACTGCTACATTGACTGCTTCAGGGAAAGAATGAACAATGAAATAATCAGCAACACATGCCACCACAACAACCTCTTTCTGCCAGAGAAAAAGGCCATAGAATTACTAAGATCTAACCACCAAATAGTGATAAAACCAGCAGATAAAGGAGGCGCCATAGTCGTCCTAAACCGTGAGGATTACATAAAGGAAGCCAAGAGACAGCTCTCTGACACCACCTACTACAAAGAACTACAAGAAGATCCTACTCCCCTTTTCACCAAAAAACTCAAAAATACCATCAAATCATTTCCATCAAGACTACAAGAAAAACTACAGACCTTGATCCCCCCGCTACCTAACCCGGGGACTTTTTACATGCTCCCTAAAATCCACAAACAAGGGAACCCTGGCAGACCTATCATATCCAACCATGGGACCCTAACTGAGGAAATATCAGGTTT